TCTCCTTTGATCTAAGGGTTGAAATGGGGATGGGAGGTTACGCAAATTTCTAGGAATCGAACCGCCCACAGAAATTCTTGGAATCAATGTCAAGGCCGATGCATCTTCCAGAAGAAGCGATGTAACTGCGCACTTACATTCTAGAATATTCGGATGAACCCTTATCCCTCTTCCTACGAAGTTGCATCGCACGTTTACATATCTCCTACGAATAATTTGACATCAAGGAGGATTAGGAACTGCATTCTCGACCCGTGACTCTGCAAGATACCGTTCGGAATTGCGCATTGGAACAACCGGTATATAGATTTTTTCTAGAATGCAAGTGACTTTGAGCCCCCGCTTTCAGAAAAATGCGAGAGCCGTTTCGACTTGCACGAACCTCCACGAAGCTGGAGGTCGAGGGATTCGCGAAGCCTCTTCGTGGGATGAGGAGGCTGCCGTCTCGACACCCGACCACTGCGAGATAACGTTCAAGGTCATGACGGCTGCCGTCTGAAACTTATACGAACTGCATGGGGCGAGGTAGAGAAGGCATCTTTTCCTGGAATCAACCTCGAAGCAAAAATTCCTGAAACCGCTTTTAAGTACTGCGCAAAAGGGATGCCACTCGTCATGTCTCTTTGACTCACTGATGCTACGCACTAGTCTGCGCAATAAGTTTAAAGGTTAGAGAGGAAAGTTCTGGAAATTTCCTGCATTTCGGAAAGCTCCATCGCAGATGCGTAATTCTGCGAGATAACGTTCAAGGTCAAATTGAGTGCCGGCTGAAGGCTGCCGTCTGCAATCTACACCAGTCCGGGAGGGAAGAAAGGGGTTCATTGAAGCTTCTAGAAGCTTCTCCGGGGGAGGGAGCAAGAGGCGGCCTCAAAACTTCGCACGGGAAGGCCGCCGATTCTCGGAACGATCCTCCGCGATTTAGCACGGACACGAACTGTCGAAGCTTCTAGAAGCTTCTCGATTGCGTGCGATTCTCAGAATCAAACATAAAATTTCTAGAATTCCCTTCAAAATACTAGAAAATAGGAGTCTCGGTGATGTCACTTCCGGAAATCGTAGAGCTCACGACGGTAACTTAGCACAGACCTTTGAAGGTTCTAGAGTATCGGTAAATATCGGTTACAGGAATCCTGGTCCAGAACCCCTAATCTTATACTACTCCCGGACAATTCGTGTTTTTGTTAAGAGAAACCGTTATAAGGAAATACGATAATCAATATATAGGATCATACGAAATAATAGAAGTATATGAAAATGGTAATGTAGATAACTCAAAAAAAATCATTGTTCATTCAAATCTGATCAAGGAGCGACACTAATTAAATAAATTTTCTCGCAAGTCATCACAAAATAACTTTGTAATTTTATTTAATAGGAAATCAACATAACAAGTTGATAAGAAGATTCGTACAAAAAACGGTTGACACAAGTGAATGGAATAGTACCTCTGACAGAAAACACGATACCTCGAGATGGCACATTACTACTTAAAGTGTGTGCCCAGGACGTAGAAAAGAAGATCGCAGGAAAAGAACTCGAGGAAAATCCAATTTTCTTAGATCATGATTACGAATCCCCAAATGGATGGTGTTGGAATCAATATAATTCAGACATAGTTTCATATATTGCAGGCTACATAGTAAGGTTTGTGAAAAAGAGAATCACCTGTGATATCTGTATAGAAAGTTTGATTATAAAAGCAATACAACTTCAAAAACGAAAATGCAGAAGTCTCATATCACCAAGCACCGATGTTATTTGCATTTGTAAAGTACCTGAGAGAGTTCTCCGTATCACTAATAATATTTTCAGTTTGAAGAATGTGATTCCAACATTAACGTTAAGTGTTAAAAAAAATAAGTTTCTCAGGATATCTTTCTAAATATTAATCATATTGTTACGCTGGGAGTCTCCTTACACCAAGAAAACCGTGAACGCTAGGCCAAGCAGTCCGCGCATGTAGAAATGCACTAAGAACGGAAGGCGGCCTGACAACCGATGCATTGAAATTAAAATCACATATTTGATGCATCTTCGGAAGTGTTCTTTACGGCTGCACCTCCAAAAATGACGAATGAAAAATGAGAATCCGAACAGATAACGTGGTTTCGTGGAGTAGACTGGGTACAGGAGGTACGAAATTACCGAACGGTACCTATACTTTATTCGAGTCGACGAACGTAGAATTACTGTACTCATTAACTGATTGTTTTCAATAACCCTTCTCCGTTTTGTTATATTTACGCGAGTTCTAACTCCTAGAAATGATATTGAAATTTAGTTACAATATAATTTTATTAAAATTGTCAAAGTCCCACGCAATATCCTTGATCTATTCAATAAATTAATTAGAAGTATACAAAATGTGTACTACGTCGGAAGATGCTGTAACGTGATTTTTCGATTCACGGTCACGAGGCGACTCCGGCTACTGATTCAGATAACGTTCTCGCTTTCTGATTCTCTTCGGGTTACCCCACCCTGCACAGAAGGTACGCTCTCGAGTTAATTCGTATAGTTATGCAGATGCTCTCGTAAGATTTCGTTATGGTTTAGTTGAGGTCGAAGTGCTCGAATCTGCATGAGGAGATAGTCTCGACGTACCGAGTTGCCCGGCAGAGGAGAATACCCGAGGGAGACATCTCCACGGACCAGCAGAAGCCCGGGTGAGATACCTAGGCCCTGCTGGAGATGGGCAAAGGGCTTTAAAGCGGGCAGTTTGTTACGGTTAAGGGCAGGGGAGGAACCCCCTGACCCGAGATAAGGATGCAAGCAGCCGTAGAGGATCTCCAGTTGTTACGTAACGATTCGCTAAGGAACGCTCTCGATTTGGTTTAAAGGGACAACTTAAAGGAAAGGATAAGAGTTATCGGCTATAAGGATCTCGATCAATCATAATGATTATTTCTCAAATTTGGCTATTGTCAAAGCAGTCTGTCTCGAAGCATCGACCGAGGTGTCACGAGCTGGCTCGCGCTCCCGTGCTATCTGTTGATAGTTTTTCTAGCTGTGTTTCGATATGGTATGGAAAATTCTCGCTTGTGTAGTTCTCGCGTTGCTCTTGCTATATCCAGGACATTCTATGAATTGTCTGTGCGCGTTCCAGAGGTGTAGTGCTGTGTCTTAGTGCAGTGCCCACCTGAGTGTCCTCTGTATACAGTTATCGGCCTTCACGGTGTTGTAAACCATAATATAGATTTGGAAACGGGCCTACGTCAGAAGCGACGGAATGGCTACGCTGCAACGCGGTACATTCCACTCGATAATATTACGGAAACAAAGGAAACACATCACCGACACCATGGCGAAATATAGAAACAATCCTTTGGTTATTGTATCTCTAAAAATTTTGTAATTAAGATATAAAAGGCGGACGGCCTGTCGGCACGTTAGACGAAGTAAGAGAGCTACGAGTGAAGTGTTACTATGGTAACTTAGTCGAAGTAGTAACCTCCAGCCTCGTGATTTCATACTCACCACGTTTACGGTTTATTTCTAATAGTGTATTCTAACGTAACTTGTTTTGTTTCAAATAAATCTTTTACTTCTTATCGAGAGTTAAGTTCCAACTTTTTACTCGGGCAACGAATACCAAAGTACCTCACTCCCGAAAACCCTTTCCGGCAGTCAAATCCGTAAATTCAGTATTTGGGCTCACAACAACGGATTAGCTGCACCAGCTCGGGTGAAGACTCCGAATTTATTAATTGGTGAAGGGATTTCGGCTTGATAGTTCCGATTTGTTCTGTTACGTTCTCGATCCGTTTCTCTCTATATCCATCAGTATTTGCCTGACTCTTACTCCGACCCTCTCTACCTCAACCTAGAAGCCTAACGGCCGTGCATTTCCGTAACCGCCTGCTCCCGTTCGTGCATCCAGTTGTGTTTGCTGATTTTACGGGACTCTAAAGACTAGCACCTACGCCTGCGTTTCTCGATTTTACGCGTCCCCAAAAATCGACAGGATCCGTTAAGTTATCACATTTTCTGATAGACTCCGTCAGAGCTCTCGTTTTGACGGAGTTGAACTCCAACTCCCAACTCCAACTCCCAGGTCATACCGGCTCGTCAGTTCCCGGCGATAAAAGAATTAGCTGACGCCCGCCTGGCTTGCGGATGTATAAACGAAGGGTGGACGGCCGAAGGTAATATAGATTAGTTCTCGGATTCTTCGCTATCGGTGTCGAGTTAAGAAAGTACGTTACAGTGTTAATGGTTATGCTCAAAACATAACCAGACGATAAATATCGGAAAACTTGCCATTTCTTAATATTTTTTAAACGTTCCTGACCTAGATGCCAAAAATCCTTTCATGGATGTTTTTTCTAGCAAAACCAAAGTTCTGTACCACATTTTAGTCAAATCAAGAATAGCGGCTATATGAAAACTTATCCACATAAAGTTATGTTATGCTATGTTAGACATTGTAAAATTTTCAAAATTACGAATGAACTCCATTTTAACTCTTGAATCTCCCGTTATAAATAATTTTCAACACTGGAGTTTTTAAATGACCACTATAAATGCCCAAGGAGCTTACAGAATTAAAAAAAAAATTATTAATAATAGAGAAAAAATATGTAGTTTCACCAAATTAATGGTAAGTCAATAATTATAAAAGATATATGTATATTGAATCCGTACACATTGTTGAAACAGAAAACAATAAAAGATATTTTTGGCGTGTAATTCGCAATGCCTAGAAGAACATATCTGTACTTAAAGATTTTATCCCATTAATGCCCAAGTCATTCCTGCTAGAGATATTCTAAAACTCAATATGGTGCTAGAACGTCGCTGATTACGAATCTGAACTCAAAATTCAGAAATTCAGAAATTCAAAATTGCGAATCCAAAAACATAGCACTGCACTTCAAAATTTCATACAACTAGTTCGAAACCAAGTTTTTAGTATGCTTTCGAGGTCACACTTCAGCGACTCCGAAAACCTCCGTATGGGTTAACTTGGGCACTAGTGGGGTTTAATAAAATATACATACCTGTACTTGATGAGCTGCAGTATCAGCGGTAAACGGCATAGTTATTTCATGAATCAACCTCACACATGCATGTAATAACCACAATTTCACTTTGCTGACGAATTCTCCGAAAGTTTGTTACTAATCTCTGAAAATACAATCATATTAAAAATAGAACGAATCGAATATTTCTGCATTTCTTTATTCAAATAATACGTATAACAATTATAAAATATATAAGTTATACAGTAATTAACCCTTTGCACTCCGCTGTCCCCTCTCAGGGAACATTAAAGTTTATTAGTGATTACGGGGAATTAACTTATTCCAGCACATCTTTTTGAGAAATGCATGTTTTTCTGAAATGTCCACAAAGTGGCGTTGAGTAGCTAGTGGCTAACGTCCAGAATGGTTCGGAGTGCAAAGGATTAAAGTTAGAAACGTACACTGAACCACAATAATGGTGACAACGGTAGACGCCGTGCGGTGAGGTAAGAGACGAGATTGGGCGGCGCCTGCCCGCGTATGTTGGCCTGTGAGTACAACGCAGAAAGCGCTACGGTGCGAGCGATACGCCAAAGTTGCTCGGTGCGTCCTTGTTGCACAGCACGAGTGTAAGCGAGACGGCAATAGGTCCCTGAGTCGCACCTATTCACAATGCGTTAGACCCTGGACACTTGTTCCGAGACACCACGTCGCAGCTATCTGTCTTTGTCGCACTAACGATGTGTGACGATGATGGGCAACTAAAATGTGTATCTCATTCCCACTACGGAAAGTCGCGTAGCTCGTTCTCGTTTCTTATCGGGGTAGTAGCTGTTCTCGTCATAGAGCGTTAGTGTGAGAGAGAGACAGAGCAAGAGCGAGAGCGAAAGCGAGAGCGAGAGCGAGAGCGAGAGCGAGAGCGAGAGCGAGAGCGAGAGCGAGAGCGAGAGCGAGAGCGAGAGCGAGAGCGAGAGCGAGAGCGAGAGCGAGAGCGAGAGCGAGAGCGAGAGCGAGAGCGAGAGCGAGAGCGAGAGCGAGAGCGAGAGCGAGAGCGAGAGCGAGAGCGAGAGCGAGAGCGAGAGCGAGAGCGAGAGCGAGAGCGAGAGCGAGAGCGAGAGCGAGAGCGACAGCAGTCCCCCACAAAGCTCCCTATTGCGCATGAGGGGCCTTGTTGGTCTCTCGCTTACACTCGTGCTGTGCAACAAGGACGCACCGAGCGACACTCTGGCGTCTCGTTCGCATCGTAGCGCTTTCTGCGATGCACGCACAGACTAAGATACGCGAGCATGTGCCGCCCAATCTCCTCTCTACCTCATCGCACGGCGTCTACAGTTGTCAGCATTATTGTGGTTCAGTGTACAGTGGAATCTCGTTATAAGCATAAGTATTCCCAGCAGGGAGAAAAACGGAACGCGAAATGAATCAACTAAATTATACACTGGATCATTCCCTGCACACATGACCCTCAGAACCAGGTTGACGTGACCGTCTTCCTAAAGTGGGATTTGGTGGCCACAGGTCGATGCTACGCATCTTTCCGCGCACACATGGGCTGACAGCGGTAAATTTGCGGAAGCATTTCCACCCTGTAGGACTCGATCGCCGAGTTCTTACTGTTTTAATAACTTCCCCTTTTTTATTCTATTCGCAGGTGGCCTTGTGTTCATCGCGCCACCCTTTTACATCTTTTATGATTTACACTCGCGATTTACGCTTTATGTACTGTGACGTTATTTCACATCACGAGTCTGGAAAAATTGACTGTCGTGTTTATCATGCTGTATCATGACGTACTGCCGTCCCTTAATATCGCGTTACGCAAATTACCTACCAAGAACTCCAGGGTCACAATTTTTGTAAATATCGATCATTAGATTAAGGATGTTCTGGTTATACAGTCCCAGACAAAAGGTACTGAAATCTGAAATAGATGAAATTCTCGATTTCACGGAGGTAAAATATGAACCATAGGCACTGGTATGTTGTGAAAGGCTACAATAATGATAATAAACATGTTTTTTGACTCTATAAATTAATATATTAGTGGATTTTGCTCATTTTGTGATGGTCGACAAAAACCTTTTGGACATGAATTTGACCTAAATCAAACTGTAAAAAAAAAAATTCGTTGTTCACATGAGACATATTTCATGTATACCAGGCATCAAATGATGATTGAGATTGCATAAGATATATAATTAATCATCATTGATGTCATATTTTTACTTGTAGGACTTTTTACAAGTCAAAATAATATGTTAAAAATCATGTATCAATCGCGACAACAGTGTATTGCCTGGTATTGCACTGATTCATTATTTTACATTGGTACCAATGCGACGCGGCGAGAAAGCGTGTTCGAGCTGCTCTCTCGCACATCCTTGTCCGCATCGCACTCTCTCTCTCTCACTCTATTCCAAGCGATTTAGTATCCGTAGGTGAATGATAAGACGATCGAACGCCATGCTCGAACGTAACGTTCATGTATATTGAGAGGTTAGATAGACGCGATCACTGCTAACGAACGAAATGCCAATAGAAAAAGTAAAACGGTGGAAACGCCGATTAGTAACGGACGCGGTTTATAAACAGCGATTAGCTCAAAGCAAGAATTGTAAAAATGTAAATGAAACGAAAAAAGCCACAAGTCAAATCGATGCAAACTCGAAATTTGAGTCACAAGAGGATCAAAATGATGATACTCAACCGGAGTTCACCGAGGGACGTCGCGTTGTCGAATTATCCGTTCTCGCTGAACAATTGTGGTGTGTGTCGTGTAAAGAAGTGCTTTCTTTGCAATATATAGAAAAAGAAACACGCAGAGGGTTAGGCTCGATACTGCTGGTGAGATGTCACAAATGTTTGCTCATAAATTCGGTGACTACAGGCAAGCAGCACAACTGGGGAAAACGACGCTTATCTCGCTTTGACGTCAATACTAAAGCAGCAATCGGTGAGTTCTTATTTTTTTATTATTTATATATTATAGATATTCCTGCAAAAAATTGTATGCATTACATACATATTTTCGATTTTTTCGAAATATAAGTAAAATATATGTGTGTGCAAAATATACATTTGACCTAATGGAGGTGTGTAAAATATTCTATGTACTTGTCAATGCTTCAGTAACATCCATTGAATTCTTTTCAATTCAATCATAAATTATAATCGACTCTTTCATTGCGTTTCAAGGTGTTCTGCATGGTGGATTGGGCCATACACATCTCAATAAACTATTATCCTGCCTCAATATTCCAACTATCGACTTCAAGACATTCAAGAGATATGAGCAAGAAGTTGGACGAGGCACAGAAACTATTGCGAAGGGGAGTTGCCAGAACGCAGCACATTTGGAGCGGCAGCTCACTGTGGAGAATGCAGAAAACATTGAACAGTTATTGTAATTATAAATTGCTCAATGTGTTTCAGAGAAAATCGCTGAAGTAAAATTATCAGAAATTTTTGTTTTCATGAAAACAGAGCTTCCTCTATGAGAAAGCAAAAGAAAGAAAATGAATGTAAAATATTTAATGCAAAACTATATCAATGAATAATATTCTCTTCAAGCGCTTTATTCATTTTTTTTAGACATCCTTTATCCTTATCCTTATTTTTTCCTTATTGTTATTTCTTCACGTAGGCCAGACAATCTTCGCTCCGGTTTCATAATACCACCAGTGAAGGAAAGTGAATGTTATGAAGATACCGCTGAAGGTGAAGAAACGCCGGTAACATTCGATAATGTTGTACGCATTATGGCTTCGTAGGATATGGGCTGGAGTACTAGAGGCACTGGAAGGAACTACGATAGTTTGAATGGATTCGGGGCAATTATCGGCAGCATGTCTGGGCTCATTCTGGATTATTCAACTCGCAACAGAAAATGTAAAAAATGGGACAATGGAAACAATCCAGCTAATCACGATTGTCGACTAAATTTTTGGGGAACTGCAAAAGCAATGGAGCCCGACGTCGCAAAAAATATTGTAACGTCGAGTACAGTCCTCCAGTCACAAAACCTTGAAGATCGCAAATCACGAAGGCATAACTTACGAAAGTAACTGTACCCTTCTCAGTGCACGTGCAGTGGAAAATGATCCAGAACCTGAGAATTCTGGCATTGAGGAAGAAGATAGTGATGAAATGCCTCCCGTTATTCTAGTCGATCTGGAATCTTCGGGCCTTGGACAAGACTGTGATATTTTGCAAATTGCTGCGACATGTGGTTCGAAAACGTTTGCAACATACGTGAACCCAATTCAACAAATATCGATATCTGCTACTGGCGCCAATGGCCTTACAAATCATTTTGGAGATCTTATGTACCATGGAGTACAAGTCTCATCTCTTCCTCTCCGAGTTGCCCTAGGAGATTTTATTCATTGGTTGACGTCATTTGGAAGAAAATGTTATATAGCGACGCATAACCTCTGCTTTGACGGCCCCAGGATCTACAGCGCAATCACGTCATGCTCTTTACAGAAAGATTTATCGGAAGTGGTTCACGGTTTCATTGACACGTTATCCATAATAAGAAAACATACAGATAGAAAGGGCAAAGGTGCATGTACAATCACAGGGTTGGCAGAGTGGTTGAACATCCCGAGCGCTGGCGTTCTTAACGCTATACACGATGTACAGATCTTTTATTTATGTATTTATTTATTTATTTATTTTCCATTTAACGGGCATGCCCATGATACAGAAACATAACAAACAAAATTACAAATTATATTCTAATAATAAAAAAATGCAAATACAATAAAAAATCAAGTTACAGCATAGTAAATCGGAAATATGTATTACTAACTATTTAGGTATTACTCAAAAACATGAATAATCCGCCGTGAATCGAGTTTAACTCTAGACAGACTACTGTGGTAAATATCTAACCAATTGGAGTGAGAATTAAGCAATCTCGACATACGCTCAATAGGTGATCTCTTAATGAAATCACTTTTCGAAACATTAATGAAAAAATACCTATCATTATTTCTTAATCTACGACTAGGAACATAAATATTAAATTTGCTTAGTAATGCACTACAATCTATTTTGTTACTTAATAATTTATATGCAAATATAATATCGATCCTAACACGATCAGATTCAAGACTAGGTATTGCCAACGCGAAGGCAATAGCACTGTAATCATGCTCAACAATACTCATAGGCATGTTTAACTTATACGCAACATACCTCAAGTAAATATGATTCACTCTCTCAAGTTTATCAATTTGATACTTAAGGTACGGATTCCAAACTACAGAGCAGTAAGTTAAGGTTGAGTGAACAAGCGTATAGTACAATGTTTTAAAAGACGTCTTATCAACAAAATCTTCAGTAAAACGTTTAATAAAGTTTATTCTCTTTTTAACAGTTTCGCAAATAAAGTCAATGTGCATCTCGAAACTCAACTTTTCATCGAACATAACACCCAAATCCTTAATGAACCTCACACATTGCAGTGCTATTCCATTAATGATATATTGAAAAATGTTAGCAGTAGGTGCCCTACAGAATGTAATAAAGAAGCACTTATCAATATTAAATAACAATTCATTCTTTACACACCAATAATATAACGCGACTATGTCAATCTGCAATAATTCTCTATCTCTTAAATTTCTAATGACTCTATAAACTTTCAAATCATCTGCAAAAAGTAATACTTTTGATTGCTTCACTGACATAACGATGTCATTTATAAATAGTATAAACAACAACGGACCTAAATGCGTGCCTTGTCCAACACCCGATGTCACAAATATCGGGTCAGATATATAATTCTTAACTTTTACTCTTTGAATTCTATCAGACAAAAACGATCGCAACCAATCCAATAAGACACCACTGATACCATATGCAGCCAATTTCCTAACCAACAAAGAGATATTTACCATGTCAAAAACCCTCACAAAATCAGTGTAAACTCCGTCAACTATGTGACCGTATAACATTCTCAACCAAATAATCTAGGTAAACACTCAAATTAGTAGTAGCAGATCTGCCACTAATAAAACCATGCTGATCTAGCATAATGTATCTTACCAGATATGATTGCAATCGATGATGTACCAATTTATCAAAAATCTTGGCAATAACGCTTGGTTTAGCAATAGGTCTATAATTATTTACATCTGCTCTATTACCACCTTTATGCAATGGGGTAATGAATGATGTTTTCCATTGTCTAGGAAAGCACCCACTTGCTAATGACCTATTGAAAAGAGCCGTAAGTAGCCTAGTGAAAAAAAACAGGACAGCTTGTCAATAAAAGTGGATGAATTAAATCAGGTCCAGGACCTGACTTGACATCCACACTATTTATTGCTTCGAGTACTTCAGTCTCACTAAATATAATCTCATAGAAACTATCATAAAATTCATAATTTATGTCCGTTGATGACAGGTCAAGATCTGCATATACACTACCAAATTTCTTTGCAAACAAATTGACTACATCTTGACCCGTATCAGCTTTCACATCATGGTAAAAAACAGTAGAGGGAAACTCACAATTCTTCCTAATTGAATTTACATAACTAAAAAAGTAACTACTATCATCTATCACAGCATTTTCAACCTTACTCATATACTTCTTATAATCTCTTCTGTTTAAATTCTTACATTTAATACGCTCAATACAGAATAATTTATAGTAATATTCAGATTTATATTCCTTATATAACTTATGCAGTTCTTTTTTACATTGAATTGACCTAATTAACTCAGATGAAAACCATTTGGGATAATTACTAGATTTAATTATGAACTTTGGTACGAACTTGTCCACCAGTAAGCTAATAGAAACATTCAATTTGTTAACTACTTCCTCAACATCTAGACAATTATCGATTTCATCAATGAGGCTACAGTCATTTAGGCATTTATTAATTTCAATGAAATTCGCTCTCTTAAAATCACAGATATAATCAGTAAAACGTAACTTACTAATACATGCCATCTTTACCGTAAATACTACACACTTGTGAGCCACATCGCAATCAAAAATTGTATCAAAACATTCATCCACATCTACATTCTCAATATTCGTGAAGGCTAAATCCAAAGTATTACCATATATATTAATATAATCATTAACTTGAGCAAGTTTATGAAAATTACAAAATCTATTCAAAATTACAGCGGCTTCACGAATATTGACATTTAGGTGAGAACCAGTAGCTTGTGACACATTCTGTACAGAACTCCATTTGAAACCTGGTAGATTAAAATCACCTAAGAGAACAATATCAATCAAGGACAATAGATCTATGTAGTTACTCAAAGTACAATTAATATTATCTAGAAAATCAGTAACATAGTCAGAAGCATAACCCGGTGGAATATATGCTGTTGCAATAACCAAACTTTTACTGTTAAATGATATGTGTACAAATGTTGCTTCAAAACTATTATCAAACATAGGTATACTAATACATTTGTAATATTTCTTAACTGCAACTAATACTCCACCACCATACTTCTTAACACTGGTAAAAAAAGACCTATCGCACCTAAAATCATTGAAATTAACAAGTCCAAGTTCAACAGTATCAATCTCCTCATCGAGCCAAGTTTCTATAAAAACAATAATGTCATAATCGTTGAGTACACTGCACCTCCTTCGAAATTCTTCAACTCTCCCTCGTATGCTGTGGATATTCTGATAGTAGATCTTCAAGTCATTGACATGCCCAATTTGTTACTCATCGTCCACCTCACTCAAACTATCTTTCTGCAGTATTAAATCATTTGTATCCTCCTTTTTCTTTCTTGAATCATCATCTGTTTTGGCTCTGACAGCAACAATAGTGGGTATATGGTTGATAAACTTTATAGATAAGTTTTCTTCAGACTCAGATCTAATCTTCAACTCATCCTTGACTTTTTGTAACTCATCTAACTGAGCCTTAGTCATATCACTCTTAATAACAAGTTTCCCATCACCAATTCTTGCCTTATTCCTATAAACCCAGTGAACATGATCAGCACAGCCTAATATCACTTTCAGCGGTTTAACTTTACCCTCAACGAACTTCATACCTAACCTTACCACTTTTATGTCACTAAGTGAGAAAGGTAGTTCATCATCAAACTGATTGAACAGATTCTGCACTACGCTTAGATCTTCTTTCACCGCATTTATGGAATCAGACATATTAAATATGATAAAATTCTTCTCTCTCTTGAATCTCTCACTAACCTCATTGAATAAGGCACTACTGTCTATTTTAGACACAGACTCTTCGATGTTATCAATTCGACTCTCAATCACATCAATTCTATCATTCACCAACTCAATAGATTCAGAAAATCCATCAACTTTGCTCTCCAAACGATTAAACTTATCTCTTATTAAGCCCCAGAGTTTTTTAATGCTAGGATCCAAACTCTCCACATCTTCTTCATCTGCTCCAATGCCAGTATCTGCAGGCGTTGCCTTAACTTTCATCGCTTGTTTTCTGGTAACAGAAGTACTGTTACCAGAAGTACTCGCATTAAGCTTTTGCGACACTACCTTGCCAGTATTATTACCATTTCCACAGCAAGGTACATATGCACCTTGCACATTTACTGCAGCTCTATCTGCACATGACGCATGGTAATATTGCCCGCACCCTTTACACTGCTTAGCATCATCAATAACCTTTATCGAACCAGGCTTGGCTCTACACACGTAGCATTTAGGCATGCTGGCCAAGGGAAAAGAAAAACGTGCTCTAAAAATTTGGAGGTTAGAAATAAAACACTCAAAAATAGGCTATTTCAAAAATCACAACCGAGATTTATAATGCTTTGACGTAACTCTGGACATGCAGCATGTAAGACACGCCTCGTAAAAATTTGATTTTTTAAATAAACCAAAATAAAAGGTACTTTATTCCTTTGAGTCCACTAATGTCGTCCCACGGAATCTCCACCATCTTTTCCAACTTAATCTTGGGTAAAATTCTTAAAAAAATTAAAATATCAAAACAAATTCTGACAAAAAGCGCAAAGGATTATTGTGAGCAGTCTCAAAAATGGGACGATGACAATCGCATAAGAAATGCTCTTCCGACTTTGGACCAATTAAAAGGGGTGCTAAGTAAGGATCTTCTCAAAAAAATGGCAAAAGCATCGATAACCGTTAACAGTCTCAAGCAAACTTATGGTGCCTCTGGTGAAACTGATGTAACTGAGCTGCTAGGACAGAAAATAAACGGAAAACCGGTGGTAACAAGTCATAAACTGTCCCTCAAACAAATTTTTGACTGGCTTCAACATAATAAAAATAAGACATCACACAAACAAGATGTTCAAATCCTGTTTTGTCGATTATCATATTATCATATTATAATATTATAATATTATCGTATTATCATATCATGAATGGTATGAAATTTAAATATTACATATAAATATTATTAAAAATTGTTATGTTTTTAAATCAAATATTTGATTTATTGAAATATTTATTAGCGAAAATGTTTAATTTTGATATAGAATATAAGTTAAAAGAAATTTGGCAAATTAAAATTATATATAAGCATTATTGAAAAAAAGTTATATTTTGAAATTAAATAAACAAATTATTAAAAGTAAAAAATTTCGCTGTTACAAATAACCATTCATCATAATTTACTCCTGCTGAACTGAAAATCCACATATGAACGGTAATTGCGGTGGGCCCCAATAATCTTTGGAACATCCCTGGATTGTTTCTGTCCGTACTTCTGACGCTGCGTTGCCACGGTTCCACAGACGAAACGAATATTACAGCCCGTTTCTGATACTTTCCATTGATTTTTCATAAATAACTCGAGAACAGCTAAGAATCGTCGACAACTTTTTTTTACAAATGTTACCCAGAATTGGATCAACGCACATAAAAAGTTTAAACACGGTAGCAATGTTGGTACTTTATTAATTTCGTTCATATATTCAAGAATGTGCTGCTACTCCATAAGAACCCATGTTAAATTGAATGTTGAATAACTATTGAACCGCTAAGACAATCGACTGCAAACTTTGCACACGTATTTAAGTAGGGAAAATAAACAATGTGTCAAATTTTTATCTTTCTATCAATGTTTGAACCCTATAGCCAGAACATCCTTAATTTCCTTTGTAAAACATTTCATGCGTTATGAATTTGGCCACAAGATTCAACATCTACACGTCGCTGGAGGAGAATCACCCCGAGACTACAGCTAGGATCGTGGAGGACGATCCAAAATCAATAGACGCCTCCACCCCGCCGCCGAAGACGCCCGAATTGAGTAGGGGGTCGACATCGAGGAAGGAATCGCCATGGACCGTTTCGTTCTTCTCGTTACAGCCGGTACCGATGTCCCGAAAACGGAGCATCAACAGTACCGAAGAGGATCGGGAGCAGGAGCTACGCCGGCGTGAGATTTCGTGAACTCCGCCACCTAGCCGTCCCGACCTGGTCCGGACGAAGATCACCATCAGAACAACCTGGACATTCTCAAGCTACAGCAGCGAGCTAGTGACAGTTTTGAAGATCCCGGGTCAACCAATTCGACGTGACGTCATACCGTCGGTTTAGACTGTGAACGGGATTTACTCATTTAAGTTTTGACCGACCTCCGGTGTATCGCATATCGGCGATCACTAATAGGTTCCGGCAGTTAATTATCGAGTTTATCGTGTCCTACTCGTGAAGGGTTATTAGTGATATATATAGCTTTTAAAGTAATTCCGTATAATTTATACTTTGAGCCTAGTGGCATACTTCCATATTTGTGCGTGGCAATACTAGTAAGTAATTCTTCGGCGACGATGATTGGCCGAAAAGGGCACTACTTTACTGTATAGGACCGTGCCGGCAGCGATCTCGGTAGCATGTCGACATTCATTCTTCGTTAGCCGTCTTGGTCGGTCGCGCTAAAATAATTGCTTCGCATTGGTATCGAAATGTAACGCTTAAGTAAGCATTTTTGTGTAAAGGGCGAAATCTTTTCTCTCTTGGCTTCCGTGCATTGGCACGTCTAAATCTGTTTCGTTTATTCCTCCCGGTTTTGGCCTAGGAGATGTTCGCGTTTCGTCAGCCAGGAAAAGATTCTGTGCCTTCCGTATTTAATTGCTGTATTTTTGAAATTTATTATTGAGCTTAGACTAATGCCTCCGTGACCCTGGAGAACTGTTGAACGAATCCGTGTTCCACGTGTCTCGTGAGTTCACGTACTGTCTTTTCGTTAATCTACATTATATATTTTCTGTTTTCACTTTCTCTCGACTCTTGTGTAGTTTTTGTAGTAATTAACTATTCTATCGCGAATAATGTTAACGTGTCCCGTAGAAGACCTTATCTCGCGTGATACTTATTTGAGTCTCGAAATTATTATTGTAAATTGTTAATTCTATTTCATTTGAAGTCCCAGAATAAAAGGGCCAATATGTTACGTTTTTTGTTACTAAATTTCATGGGTTCTCAATGTAATTTCTTCTCACTATCTTTTCCTTTACCTCTCCTTTCTTTAACATCAGCGTCGACCCAGCCCCTCTACCATCCCTCTTGTTCGTACCTGCTAGTCGGACCTCTTTTCATATTTTCCGGGGAGTTCCTTTAGGTATCGTAACGCAACGATGCGTCTGGCGCCCATCCGGTATTTCACTAAGTATAGTTTGTTTCGTATTGCGTAGTCCCGGGAAATTCGGAAAGAGTATCGAGCCAATTGTAAGCGAAAGATCGTGTCGCGTTTTAGAGTATTTTATTATCTATCTTATCTTCTAATTTTCTTTCATTACAGTACATATCATGATTGAACAATGAACCATTTTTACAATTCTACACAAATAATCACCTTGTTTTTCTTTATTTTATAGGCAACTGTACATTGGAGTATCACGTTCTTAAATGGTAAAATAAAAACGCCATCTATATCCCATGTTGTCAGAAATTTCGCACGTCTAAACTAACCACAATTTGTAAGAAATAGGCGATATGAGTTCGCAACAATAAGGTAAGAGACATACATGGTGTTCGTGATGTCCCGCACACTCTGTAGGCCACACTCAGATTCGACCTGATATTCTGAATATTGTAGAGAGATAGTCTCGATGTATCGAGTTGCCCAGCAGAGGAGAGTACCCGACGAAGACGTCTCCGCGGGCCAGCAGAAACCATACCGGCGCTCCGTTGGAGAGACGCAAGGGCTGTAGAGAGGGCGGAGATGGTTTATTACGGTTATAGGCAGATGAGAAACGCCCTGATTCGAGCTAAGGACGTAGTACCCAGTTGTCACCTAATGCCTGGAGAAGCGGCCGTGAAGAATCTCTAGTTGTTACGTACTGATTCGCTTAAGAACGCTCTCGATTTAGTTTAAAGAGACGAAGGTGAGAACTCCCAATTTATTAACTGATGAAGGGTTTTCGATTTCATAGTTCCGATTCATTCTGTTACGTTCTTGACCAGTTACTCTCTGTATCTCGCACTATTTGCCTAACGCTTACTCCAACCCTCTCTACTTCAATCTAGCAGCCTGAGCGGCCGTGCATTTCCGTAACCGTCCGCTTCCGTTCATGCATCCAGTTGCGTTTCTCGATTTCACGCACCCTCAAAAATCGACAGAATCTGTTAAGTTCTGATATCTTCTGATAGATTCCGTCAGAGCTCTGATTTTGGCGAAGTTAGGCCTGTTCCACCCCAACTCCCAGGTCATACCGACTTGTCAGCTCCCGGTGATAAAAGAATTGGCTTGCGCCCATCTGGCTTATGGATGCATCAGCAAACATAGTTAGTTCTCGCATATTTCGTTATCGGTGTCGAGTTAAGAAAATATGTTACAATAGGTATAATTGAAATTTTTCAATTCAATGGAAACTTGAAAATTTCCACCAATCAGCATCATTAGCCGATCGACAGATATGAACGAGGCATCGGATTGACGAAGAATTCTGACTAATTCTTAATTTCTCTTATAGGCTTCACCGCGCCCCATTCTCGATCAGTTGCTAGGAATAGAAACTATAGCATTTACCTGTGCGTCGCTCTAGTCTCTAGGCTTACGCCACGTTGCGCAAGATGAATATAGAGCCCAGTAAGAAAGCTATAGCTTTTCTATCGGTAGCGCGTGCATATTGCTGAATAGATCGAGTTTTGCTTTCCCCACTCTTGTGCCGCTTTTGCATAGCGGGTCTGGAAATGAAGAGATTTTACGTGCGCTCATTGGTTAGAATGCTCCGCCAATCCGGTGCCTCGCTCATATCTGTGGATCGGCTCATGATACAAATAGATGAGATATAGCCAATAGCGGTTATGTGCATTTGGGCAATGATGTCACTGGACCCTCTTTTTCTGATTGACTGACTTTATGTATGCTGTGTCGTCACGCCGCAACAACAGTTCTATACGGAGGAACCATCTCTTTACGAACCGAAACCTAAAAAAGTCCCCTCAAAGTAAAGCTCATGTCGCTTAGAACGTAATTTCATTGGTTCCTTCGTGATCTTAACCAAAATACGATCGCTAGTGCCTATACTTCGTCTATTTGTATCATGGATTGGCTGATAATTCTGATTGATGGAAATTTTCAAGTTTTCATTGCAATTTGCTCCAAAAATAATTGAAAATTTTCAATTATACACTGTAACGACATTTTTCATGAGAAATCGCGTTTATAAATAAATGGCACCCTTTAATAAGGAATCGAAATTACATAATGAAAATGAACGCCATGATTTATCTTACACTATCGAAAATTTGACCAACTCACAAAAGCGTCACTCACCGCATTCCTAGTCACTCCAAATATCCACAGGCATGGTTCCCTTGATACTGGATCCCTCAAACGGTAATAATACGAAACGATACACTATAGAAAGAACTATACATGACTGGATAAAACTCGAGAAAATAATACGAAATTTACGAGATGAGAAAATACGTTTGACATTAGGCTCGGCCACATTGCGAGTGACGCTATGAATTTTACAAATCGAGAATCTTTCCAAGAGACGCGCTGTAATATATCCCTTCGACTAATTAGATTGGCGGACACATTAGCTTCGCCAAGGCGTTTGCGATTTTCAACTGTTTTAGACAATTCTAATGAAGTAGATCCTGGCATCTATTATGTTTGAAATGGCTGTAGTGATATTTTCGGTAGGCAGGAATCACACCCATCTCTATCCCCTCGATGGACTCCTCCAGGCCGTCACTGCAACCTTTGTATGCTACTGAATCGAGAAGGCACTCGCCGAATGTCCCCCATAGTTGGATTCTCAGGGTGTCTACTCCGCTCTGGTTGTCGCATCGCCTCGCCAGCGTATTCCACCAGGCCCGTAATTGACACTCTCGGGTCCCGTATCATTCAAATTTTAATAATATCCTTTCGGATCGT